ACACTACCTGATGGACCCCCCTTCACTTCACAAAATCATAGTACCTTCTATAAAAAATAATTTACTCATATGATAGACAATTTCAATTAAGAGTCTAGCTACAAAGGTCATTAAAAAAAAATATAAGTAAATATGGATATATTTAAATAAGTCTCTGCTGACGTTTCAGATTTCCAACAGGTTTTCTTTTAAACCTGTTAATCTAACAGTTAGAACGTTTGTTAAATCTGGTTGATTATCAATTATCACGCAATCTGCCAGCCACATGTTCAAGTACGATTTAAATTCGTATCGTGTTTCCACTTATAAGCTGCTTGCAATTTCTTTTTTAAGGTTTCCTGCTTATTTTAAGTTTTTAGATGCATCGCTTTTTTAATCTTATTATTATAATATTCGGAATTTAGTCTAAACTAACCAAACATAATTATTATTTAGATACATTACATAAAAAATAATCTATATGTTGAACGATACCACTAAGTGATGTATTTTAATGCTTGGGAATAAGAACTTTTATTATCATACAGGGTGTTTCGATTTCTGAACGCTTTAATTCGTTGAATTTTCAATTTAAAGCATATACAATCGTTATTTTAATGAATTGTTTATATTTAATCTTCATTTACGTCTTCTAATAATAATAGTCTCGCTAATTCACTACCTCAGAAGTGAAATGTAACCCTTGAAGCCGACTGAGCTTGTGTGGGAAAGGGACGGCCTATTATTATTTGTCGTGGAGCTCCGGATCGACTTAAACATGACTAATGGTGCCATCTGACTTACAGGCGAGGAAAACCCGGAAAACTTCACCTGCTATCATCGAAACGGTAGCGCATTGCGATTTGTAATCTGGATGCCATATAAACAGAAATTAAATTACTGCTAATACGACACCTATCAAATCCTACAATGGACCGTGCAAATTAAATAAAAATTTACATGGTTGCTTCAGGATTCAAAGCCGTATTCGCTACATTGTCCTAAATTGAGAAGGATTTATTATTATGTAAGATAATAATTATTAAAAATCTTTAGGTATTTTCTGTTTTATTATATTATATCTCAATATTAATCATACGATATAACTTGTTGATGGCTTCATCGTAAAGTGACAGTCGCTCTATTACGACTGACAACTGACTGATGTTAAAGTGTGTTCCGCAATCAAGAACCGTACCTCAACAAAAGTTAAATAGGAGGACAGAACACACTAAGTTATTTAACTTATTTTTTCTATCCACCTATTTATCCTTTTTAATTTATGTCTGATAATGACCGACTATAGTATAACAATTTTCATTTGAGGGTGACTCATCTGCGAATTGCAATGTGGTCGGCCAGATGAGTCAGCCTCAAATAAAAATTATCATACCATGCGTTAAGAATAAAATTTTTTAATAAATGTATTTGATGTTTTAATTGTTTATATTCCTTTGAATAAATTGACCACATTAGAGAAAAGAATCCGTGTACTCTACTTAAAAATAAAATAAACATTTTGTTACTCATACAGTGGTAGCACAAACGTTCGAAGTAGAAGCTGACAATGAGTACGTCATCCGTGGAAACTCAGCAGTGATGAAGTGCGAAGTCCCGTCATTCGTTTCAGATTTCGTCTTGGTGGAAAATTGGAGGGACTCCCAAGGAAATATTTATCTTCCTGGCAGTGACGATTACGGTACATACATTGAACAAACGCCCTAAAGCCGTGACGATTGATTTCCGCCGTTCGATCCTATGTTTATACAGTGTGGTCCATTTAAGATGGAAGCACGACCCGTATTTTAAGACGATTGGAACCATTGTACAGGGTCACAAATCCTAGTATCAAATGAATTATTCTCAATGATTCTAAAAAATACGGGTTCTACAGGGGTGCTTCCATCTTAAATGTAGAAAAAGACTCGAAATATTCCACTTTTCAACTTTTCCTTTTTCTCTCTTGTGGTTGCAGTTGTCCAACAGTTTTACCAAAGTCGAGTGATCGATGAGTTTGTGTTGAAAGGCAACACAGGGATTTTAAAATGCTCGGTGCCCAGTTTTGTGTCTGATTTCGTCCAAATAGAAAGTTGGTTGGCTGATGATAATACAGTATTTAAATATCAGAAAAATGGGAATGATTTTGGTAATTTACCATCGTAATAATTTAGATGTCTTATAAAGTAACCTACCTCTACTCCTCTTTTTTTTGTATATTTTCCAGATATTCAAATTTAGAACAGCGTTATGATTTGAAAAGTGACAATTTTATGGATAAAATTGTTTGAGTAGTGAAATTGTAGTTTTTGGTTTCTAGTTTTAAATGATATGAGTTGTCCAAAAATCGTGCTGTGAATAAGAAACATATTTAAATATTTTTAAAAGTAATACCACAAGAATATATATTTTTTTGAGATCATTTTGTGTTTTCTTTGAAAATTTGCATAGGAAAATGTGCTCAAAAAATAAAATTCACATCGCACAGTATTTGGAAAGATTATTTAACAATATAAACAAAACTTTTGTAAACAACATTTGCTTTGTTTCCGTAAGATGAAGTTACAGTGTATTTTTAAAACAAACCAATACTATTTTTGTCACTTTTTTGACAAACTTTTCGCGGGAATGAATGAAAATAACCTTAGAGTTTTCAGATATAGTTTGTTTTGATTGGCGTGTGTTGGAATTAAATAGGAGTCATATTATTTTGTTATAGTCTATTTTTATGTATGAGAGAGTAATAAAACAGCATTTCTAATGTAAAACTTTTTACAGAATAATCTAAATATTTCCTAAAATTGTAATAAATGTACCTGAGCTATTACAAGTTTTGGGTCTTTTATTGGTCCTTTATAAATATAAGCTGTACAGACCAATAGAAAAAGGTTTGGATAGGTCAAAAGCCCTGTGTATTAAAGATTACATAGCCGTATCTTAAGATTATTTTCAATAAGTACCTATTTGCCAATTTTGTTTTATTTTAATTCCAAGAATTTCTTACAGTAATCGAATTATAAGTAGATAAATACCTTTCCAACAAATTTCACCGAAAATGCGATTATAGGTTTTCCATTTAGTAAGGAGGTCCAAGTTGTGTATTCTTGACAGTTTACTAAATGTCGTTTAGTTGCAACTTGCAAGGTGCAGTGTGAATTCTAGTGTGATCATGGAAAATTTGGAAGGGCCGCGTAAACGACAAAAAATCGGTCCTTTAACAGTTAATGAAAAAACATTAATATTTAATTGTTTTAAATCATTTACAGACAAACATTTATGTAAAAGTGTTGATGAAACAGTGGAATTAGTTAGTAGTACGCTTGGTGTTGGGAAATCTACGATTTACAGAGTTGTTAAAGAAGAGAAATGTGGCGAGTTTCAAACAGCACGTAAAGCTCCAGGAAAACCAAAATTTCAATTAGAAAATCTTTTGAAAGAAAGACTTCGAAGGAAAGTGCATGCGTTCTTCTTTAGAAAAGAATTTCCGACAGTAGACAAAGTTCTTGCCACGGTTCGAGATGATAAGGATTACCCTGAAATGAGTCGAAGCACACTATGGAAACTTTTAAAAGAAATAGTATATGGAAAAAGCATTCCAGAAAGTCTATTTTAATAGAAAGAAGCGATATTGTAGTATGGAGAAGAAATTACCTAAGGACTATAAAAGAAATGAGAAACCAAAGAAGAAATATATTTTATTTAGATGAAACATGGATCAACGAGGGACATAAACCAAATAAATTTTGGCAAGATGAAACTGTTACAAGTCGAAGACAGGCTTTTTTAAATAATTTATCTACTGGTTTAAATCCACCATCAGGAAAGGGGCGCAGACTAATAATAGTACACATCGGTAGTTCAAACGGTTTTGTTAAAGGTGGTTTATTGACTTTTGAATCTACTCGTACCGGTGACTACCATGAGGACATGAATGCTGATGTCTTGAAAGAGTGGTTCGAATAAATTATAGATCTTCTTCCTCAGAACTGTATAATAGTAATAGATAATGCAAGTTATCACTCGAGACTTATAGAACAAATGCCCACAACCAAGTGGTTAAAAAAAGATTTACAGAATTGGCTAAATTCAAAGAATATTAAGTTCCATCCCGGTTCTGTGAGAAAAGAACTGTATCATTTGTGTTCCCTTCATAAAGAGAAATTAAAAAAATATGAAATTGATGAAATTGCAAAAAATCGTGGGATGACGGTGGTTAGATCACCACCATATCATTGCGAAGTAAACCCGATTGAACTGATATGGGCACAGATAAAGGGATAAGTTTCAAGAAAAAATAATTCTTTTAAAATGAGTGATGTTAAACAGTTGTTTTTGGAGGCTGTAAATAATGTGAAGCCTGAAAACTGAGAAAAGGCAGTAAATCATACGATTAAAGAAGAAGAGAAAATGTGGAAGTTGGACAATATTACTGATGAAATGATCGAGCCACTCATTGTAAATATTGGTTGCGAACAGTTCATCTTCTGATTTCGATTCTGATTTGGATTTGTAGGTAAGAAGTAGTTTTTATATTAAAATTATTATTTATGAACGTAAGGTTGTTTAAAAGTCAAAGTTTAAACCCTTATACCTACATAACCCGTTTGACACAATGTTCTTAACATACCTTGTGGAAAAATAAAACATTTTAGAAAAAAATTCACTTTTTTACCTTCAGCTGTTTAGCAGTTATAAGCAGGTTAATTAGGTGAAAATATAAGTGTATACTCGAGGAATAAAAAATATTTTAACTGTCTACTAAAATAAGTGATACGCCTATGGATTACGAACGCGTTATTATTTTAATAGACTATATATAGGCACAATACATTCTTGAGATTTCTAAATTGTGTGGTCGTAAATGGCACAAAATTATATCTATTTATCTCAGTTTGATAGATCTAAAAAATTTCTAGGTTTACCGAAAAAACTACAAACTAAGCGGTTTTAGATTATACTATTTTGTAAAATTGAAAATTCTTATTTCTACCTGATGTGACGTCCATTATTTTTTTACTTTACAGTGGTGAACCAATACTACGAAGCCCAGGTATACGACGTGTTTGTTATAAAAGGTAACACGGCTGTTTTCAAGTGTCAAATACCTTCATTCGTATCGGACCACGTGGAAATAACTTCTTGGCAAGATACGGCCAATAACAGCTATTTACCACCAACTAATGATTATGGTACCTATAAACAATATTGATTTATGTATTTCCGAGATAATCGTCTGACAGTTTGCAAATTTGGTTATTGGATATGGGTTATTGGAACGTTTTAGATAGTACTTTAATCAAAACAATTTTTTTTGATGCCAAGAATTGATTACAAAAAAATTAATTATTCTTTTAGGACTAATGGAGCTTTTGAATGTCACTATTCAGATATATTTTTGGTGGTGCAATCTTCGAGCATATACAGGGTGTCACATTAAAAAGGAACCAGTCTTTTCAGATAAAAAAAAATGGAAACGCGCTCAGAGAGATCAATTTTGGTATCGAGAGAGACATCTTTCGATAAAACAATCTTTATTATATCACTTTATCCCTTTGGAACCCTAACCCTTGAAATTTGAATAAAGAACGGGTCGTACGACACATTTTTAAAAATTTTGAAATTTGTTTATTCGTTTTCGAAATATTCAAATTTTAATACGAAACATATATTATAAAATTTTGAATAAGGGAAAATGAAAATAAAAAAAGAACTTAAAAATGAAAAAAATTAAAAAATCCTTTCTAATGTGTCTGAGAAATCAATTTTTGTCTCTTTTGACCTAAAAATCATCACCATATTTCACCACTTTGTACAACAACCCCAACCATAGAAATTTGAATAGGGAAGATGTTTTATCTAAAAATCTATTTTTCTACTCGAACAGACTTCTGTTCCTTTTTCAATGTGACACCCTGTATAGTACATAGAGACAGCATTCAATAGGGTTTTTTAGTATCAAACAGGAAATACTGCACACATCATTTTTAAGGGAATGAAATTATTAAAAATAATAAATTACATACAATTTAAATTGAAGCAACATGTTTTGTAGACTTGCTTTTAATTACAGTCTGTTCGCTATACTTACGCGGGTTTCGGATTAACAAAATTATGCAAATTAGTCTTCCCAAGAAATTAGGTAAAATTGCCCTAATGGTCAGATTTAAATTAAAATAACATTAGGGTAGGCACTAAATTTGTTACAAATATTGCAGTTGAATTTATTCTTTGCAAGTGTTGACATTGTATGTATATTGTAAGCCACATTAGACTCCATTAATGAAGAAGTTTAATTCTGCTCTCAATTATACAAAAGATTCTCCATTATTATTTAATTAAAAAGTGGTACATTATTTTTCATTTCATTTAACCAGTTGATATTTCCCCAAAGAACAGGTCAAACTTTCGGGTACTTACCTGGAAATACTCATAAAATTTTTAATCCGAAACCCGCGTAGGTATAGCGAACAGACTGTAGGTACAACTGGCGCAAATTAATCTATGTTGGGGTATAATTTGCGCACTTGGGTTTTGGAGCGCCTTCATTCGATCTTACTGGCTACAATATAGGTCAGTAGCGCCCTACTATTGTTATGCAGTAATAGTAACTAGTATTTATAGAAATAAAAAAAAAGTAGGTATCTATCGATTTTTTATACAAAAATTTGATCAACATTTAATTTACGGTTATTACATATACTTTTAAAATATGATTGCATTCTTAAATCAATTACGATAATTTTGGGATGTGCTTCTTGAGAACCAATTAGCTGTTGACCTAAATGTTTTAATTAAAGTAAATAATTACATTAATTTCGTAATACCGAAATGTCCCAGTTTCTCTGGTGCAAAATTACGGAAATTCCTCATCGAGCCAGTGGCGGCTTGTGGCCTGATCTACGGGAGGCTACTTTTGAAAGATATATAAAATATTAGATACATCTTATATAATATTTCTATTAGAATAAGGAAAAATAAAAAATTTCATATTACATTCAAAGGATTCTGTCTTTTAAAAAAAGAAACTGCTGCAGTTAAGGTTAATTCTATTTCAAATTTTTTTCAGTCCCACTGAGTAACAGATTACTTGTTATAATTTTAAATTTGACTGGCAGATAAGTTTATATACCTAGATACGTACCTAAATGGATTAACAAAAAATAACCCATCAATCACAATTTAAAAAATATTGCAACCTGTCTGTCGGATTATCTAGAAAATTACAAAACCTGTTGCTATTATCCTGGATTAAAGCACCGCACCTCATCCTGATCCAACAACAGAATTTCCGATCAACGCCCTCCCTGCCCGTCCCTGACAATCCTCCCTCGGTCCTACTGCCCTTCGGCCTTGATTCTTCCGTTCGTTGACACTGTGTCTGGTTTGAATCAAATTTAAATCCAATTTGTTCCGGTGGGCGGTTGCTGAAGGTGAATGGGTAATGGATGTCCCGCCATCGACATAACACTTCTTGTTTCCATGACTTTGGAATTATAAAACAATATATAGGTACGGACATTTAAACACCGACCTACTATTTTATAATGAATCGAACAAGGTATAATAGGGACACGCGTGTATCAAATAAAGACTGCGAATTAATTATTTTACGACATTCCGTTGAATTCCAAAAACAAGTATGTGATCTTTCCACCGAAAATATTTTGACAGTTCATTTTCGCTTATACAAGAAGTAGATGTCAACTTTCTTATTTTAAATGGGACATATCTATTTGTATTTCCCATTATCCCGTATAGTTTGAAAAGTAATCAACTTTAACCGACCTATTATTAAATTTGTTTTAATTTTGACTTCTTAAATACCGTGTTTTTATGGTCATTCCTTTTACCTGACCGGATGAGCATTGTTTTATCCAATGCCTTTTTAGTTTTATAATAAGGAGGTGTGTGGATATTATTGGTTCATTTCCTTCGAACGTGATGTACTTTTTTAGTACGAGAAAATTACAGGATTATCTGAATTTACTTAGTAATAACATTAAATTGTTAAAAAATTAAAAAAAAAGTGTATCAAGTTAATATTTTCCGGCCAAATCAGGATGAACACACAACATTTTTTAGGCGAAACATATTATTTTAGATAGATTTTTTAAGTGTCCCTCATATAATTCGCGCTTAAAGAGAGAAAATTGAGGTTTTCACTACTGAAAACTACAGAAAACCTTTTGAAGTAACTTTTTTTACAAATATACTATATTTACAAACGAATGAAAATTAAAAATTATGTTTTATTTGTTTTTGGGTTAAATTAATTGTAATAAATGTTTCTCACGAATCTACATCAAATTTAGAATACAAAAACTAATGCACGATGCACATATAATTTGCAGTTGACCTCATTTGTGAAATGGGGCGTGTCTCCTGTTTTATTTAGATAAATACCTTTTCATTTAGGTTAGTGGAGCTAATAAATATCACAATAAGTAACGGTGAATACTAGAAATGACAATAAAATTATCCACACAGACATAAATTCAATATTCGTACTGGTATGGGTTTATTTAAAAGTTACTAATGGTTATTTCTGCGTGTCTTCCCATTTATAAATTAGAAGAATAACTTTTAGAAATAATATCTAATATAGTGATTATTTTGACATATGTCAGAATTTTTTGGATATCGAAATTCCAAACAAAATGGCTGCCGAAGGGAATGGGTGTTGCAACATACCATGTATTCTAAATAGAAGACGTGAAATCATGAGTAATGGTGCTTAAAAACAGCCCATTTTATGTCGAACACCATGAAAATTCATTTTTAAAGACCACTTATACATTTTTTTTAAATCGGTAGACTCGGCGACTACTATTTTGAATAAAAATAGCATTAAAGATGGAAGACTATGTCGCAACCACTAATACAAATCAGAGGTCGCAACCCTCTTAGATATACCAGCCCTGCTGTTTGGCACCTATTGTTTAAAAGGTCGTTGCAATGGCTAATTAGCACATAATGAGAAAATCGAAGTATGTGCTAATTAGGCATTCCAAACCAATGAGGTTGAATACTATGGAGATGACATGCCAAAAAAAAAACGACACCCCTTCCCCCTCTCTTAGTGGTCATGTCATAGTTGTCAAAGAGCTGTCAGAACTTTGTTCAAATTTAAATATTTCGACGTTATTTCTATCTTAATAAGTGTTTTTTTTTTTCTGATTAATTTGTATAAAAATCATGACTAAGTGTGCCAAAATTAATTGTAAAAACTCTTCAGTGAAAGAGCGTAAGAAAATATCTAATTTAAGTTTTCATAAGTAAGTATAAGGAGTGTACTTAGAATTTTTTTTAGAATGCTTAACTTTTTTTTATTATAGGTTTCCAAAAGACCAACAATATCTCAAAATTTTAGTTCATGTTGAATTAAGAGATAGTTTCCGTGGAAATTGTATTCTTTTGGAGGAATTAACTATTTTAAAGTGCAATATAACAAGCCAGTTAAATGTTACTTCAAAGGAATATGCAATGTCTGATAATATTGACGATTTTAAGAAAGTGAATGTTATTGAAAATAATCATGATTATTTACCAGATCCAGTCTCCTCCTGTTCTAAATATATAATCACTTACATTTCTGGATATGTTGTTTATTATTTAAAAAAGAAAATCATTTGTGAACAATGTCTAGATGCTTTAATAAGTAAAACTAGAGATTTGTTTCTATTTTTATTCATTGATATAAAGAATAAAAATGGTTTGCAATATCCATCGGAAGATGTAATAAACATTTGTTTAAAATGTGAAAAAATATTAAAAATTATGAAAGACTCTAAGAAAAATATATCAGTTGATATCATCAGCACATTAGTTTTAAAAGAATTCATAAATTCTAATGTCTTTTCGAATATTATGCAGCACAGTTTGGACCAGTTTGTGTTGGATAATCCTAGAATATTATTAATCAAGTGCATAGTTGATAAATATGTTAGTATCCGACTAACATATCTATTAATAAAGCTGCTAGCATAAGACATCAAAACAACAAAATAGTGATGTTTAAAGGTCAATAAATACTTTTTTAAATAATAAAAAAAATTTTGTAGTGTCTTATTAAGAATGGGACAGAAAAACTGAAGAGTTACCTATAATTTTACCAAATTCGGCAAAAGTTTTTGGTGTCATAAGATACGTTACACTTATTTGAACTATAATTATATATTTTTTGATGTTT